AAGTGTAGTACTGGAGGCCCACAAGTGTACTGGAGACCCACAAGTGTAGTACTGGAGGCCCACAAGTGTAGTACTGGAGGCCCACAAGTGTAGTACTGGAGGCCCACAAGTGTAGTACTGGAGGCCCACAAGTGTAGTACTGGAGGCCCACAAGTGTAGTACTGGAGGCCCACAAGTGTAGTACTGGAGGCCCACAAGTGTAGTACTGGAGGCCCACAAGTGTAGTACTGGAGCCACAGTGTAGTACTGGAGGCCCACAAGTGTAGTACTGGAGCCCAAAGTGTAGTACTGAGGCCCACAAGTGTAGTACTGGAGGCCCACAAGTGTAGTACTGGAGGCCCACAAGTGTAGTACTGGAGGCCCACAAGTGTAGTACTGGAGGGCCAAATGTAGTATGGGTAGACCACAAGTTGTAGTACTGGAGGCCCAAGTGTAGTACTGGCCTTTCTCATTTTACGTATTTTTTGTCACAATTAGAAAAACTGGTTGTGTATAATAAATCGGATTGAGTGGCGTGAGTGCCCACGAAGAGTGACGTGGAGGTGTCCGTGAGATGGTCTGATGGTCCTGATTTTGTCGTGATTGGTTCCGTGAGTGGCCCTGAGTGCCCGTGAGTGGTCCGTGAGTGGTCCGTGAGTGGTCCGTGAGTGGTCCGTGAGTGGCCCGTGAGAAAATTCAATTAAGCGGGTCCTTAGTGGTGAAAAGTCTGAGAACTGTCCTAGACTTTCGTCAGCCTTTCTCCGCTTTGTATCGCGATTTACTCCTGCCTGCGAAGGACTGTGTAATCCTACGGATTTAGCGCTCCCCATGATTACAATAATCCTGTATCGTGGTGACGGCCATGTACCAGTAATTAAATTCTCTCGCCTTTTAGCCCATTCGTGTTTATGGTGTCTTGGGTGACCATCTTCACAGATATTTTACAACACGACTTGTGAAATTGTCTGTAAAAACTTGCATTTGTGGTCACAGTGGTGGCCTATGCTAACCTTCCTATGATGTAGAAATATACAGTTGGATGAATCTTATTGTAGCTAGCTGGTCCAGTGGTTAACGCGTCGGTCTGGAGTTTTATGACTGACCGCGGGTTCTAACCCCACCCGTGGTATAGGTGATATCTGAAACACACTCATATATTATGCAGTTCTTTGTTACTAGCATAAGGATCTAAGCTTATTTAATAAGAGGATAATAAGATTTCGTTCGGATTTTTTAACCCTGGAAGGTTAGCCACCCAGGATAAGCCAAGAAAGTCAGTGGGTCATTCGGGGCTCTCTTATTTCCATTGTGGTCCTCAATCTTGTCCTCCAGGATGCCTCCCACACCAGTCCACTAACACCCAGGATGCCTCCCACACCAGTCCATTAACACCCAGGATGCCTCCCACACCAGTCCATTAACACCCAGGATGCCTCCCACACCAGTCCACTTAACACCAGGATGCACCCACACCAGTCCACTAACACCCGGATTGCCACCCACACCAGTCCACTAACACCAGGATGCACCCACACCAGTCACTAACACCCCAGGATGTGACCCACACCAGTCCACTAACACCCAGGATGTGACCCACACCAGTCCACTAACACCCAGGATGTGACCCACACCAGTCCACTAACACCCAGGATGCCTCCCACACCAGTCCACTAACACCCAGGATGCCTCCCACACCAGTCCACTAACACCCATGATGCCACCCACACCAGTCCACTAACACCCAGGATGCCTCCCACACCAGTTCACTAACACCCAGGATGCCTCCCACACCAGTCCACTAACACCCAGGATGTGACCCACACCAGTCCACTAACACCCAGGATGCCTCCCACACCAGTCCACTAACACCCAGGATGCCACCCACACCAGTCCACTAACACCCAGGATGCCACCCACACCATCCACTAACACCCAGGATGCCACCCACACCAGTCCACTAACACCCAGGATGCCTCCCACACCAGTCCACTAACACCCAGGATGCCACCCACACCAGTCCACTAACACCCAGGATGCCACCCACATCAGTCCACTAACACCCAGGATGCCTCCCACACCAGTTCACTAACACCCAGGATGCCTCCCACACCAGTCCACTAACACCCAGGATGCCTCCCACACCAGTCCACTAACACCCAGGATGCCTCCCACACCAGTTCACTAACACCCAGGATGCCTCCCACACCAGTCCACTAACACCCAGGATGCCTCCCACACCAGTCCACTAACACCCAGGATGCCACCCACACCAGTCCACTAACACCCAGGATGCCTCCCACACCAGTCCACTAACATCCAGGATGCCTCCCACACCAGTCCACTAACACCCAGGATGCTCCCCACCAGTCCACTAACATCCCAGGATGCCTCCCACACCAGTCCACTAACACACAGGATGCCTCCCACACCAGTCCACTAACACCCAGGATGCCTCCCACACCAGTCCACTAACACCCAGGATGCCTCCCACACCAGTCCACTAACACCCAGGATGCCTCCCACACCAGTCCACTAACACCCAGGATGCCTCCCACACCAGTCCACTAACACCCAGGATGCCTCCCACACCCAGTCCCACTAACACCCAGGATGCCACCCACACCAGTCCACTAACATCCAGGATGCCTCCCACACCAGTCCACTAACATCCAGGATGCCACCCACACCAGTCCACTAACACCCAGGATGCCACCCACACCAGTCCACTAACACCCAGGATGCACCCACACCAGTCCACTAACACCAGGATGCCTCCCACACAGTCCACTAACACCCAGGATGCCACCCACACCAGTCCACTAACATCCAGGATGCCACCCACACCAGTCCACTAACACCCAGGATGCCACCCACACCAGTCCACTAACACCCAGGATGCCTCCCACACCAGTCCACTAACATCCAGGATGCCTCCCACACCAGTCCACTAACACCCAGGATGCCTCCCACACCAGTCCACTAACATCCAGGATGCCTCCCACACCAGTCCACTAACACCCAGGATGCCTCCCACACCAGTCCACTAACACCCAGGATGCCTCCCACACCAGTCCACTAACACCACAGGATGCCTCCCACACCAGTCCACTAACACCCAGGATGCCTCCCACACCAGTCCACTAACACCCAGGATGCCTCCCACACCAGTCCACTAACACCAGGATGCCTCCCACACCAGTCCACTAACACCCAGGATGCCTCCCACACCAGTCCACTAACACCCAGGATGCCACCCACACCAGTCCACTAACATCCAGGATGCCTCCCACACCAGTCCACTAACATCCAGGATGCCACCCACACCAGTCCACTAACACCCAGGATGCAACCCACACCAGTCCACTAACACCCAGGATGCCACCCACACCAGTCCACAACACCCAGGATGCCTCCCACACCAGTCCACTAACACCCAGGATGCCCCCCAAAACCAGTCCACTAACATCCAGGATGCACCCACACCAGTCCACTAACACCCAGGATGCCACCCACACCAGTCCACTAACACCCAGGATGCCACCCACACCAGTCCACTAACACCCAGGATGCCTCGCACACCAGTCCACTAACACCCAGGATGCGACCCACACCAGTCCACTAACACCCAGGATGTGACCCACACCAGTCCACTAACACCCAGGATGCCACCCACACCAGTCCACTAACACCCACGTACCTACTTGCTGCTAGGTGAACAGGACAACAGATGTAAGGAAATGTGTCTAAATGTTTCTACCCAACCGGGAATCGAACCCGGGCCCTCCGTGTGTGAAGCGGGAGCTTCACCAATTCATTTATTCCGCTACACGTGTCTTATTCACGTAACATTTGATCATTCTAAATAATATATATTCCTTCTGGTTTTTTTTTCATTTAGGAATTAATATATGTATTTAATTTCTCCACATTTCTCCAGAATTGTGAATTTTTCGAGATATTGATTCATTTAGTTCAGAAAACCACTACACACTGTTACTTAAGAGTTCTGTACGTTATTGATTCATTTAGTTCAGAAAACCACTACACACTGTTACTTAAGAGTTCTGTACGTTATTGATTCATTTAGCTCAGAAAACCACTACACACTGTTACTTAAGAGTTCTGTACGTTATTGATTCATTTAGTTCAGAAAACCACTACACACTGTTACTTAAGAGTTCTGTACGTTATTGATTCATTTAGCTCAGAAAACCACTACACACTGTTAAGAGTCTCTACGTTATTGATTCATTTAGTTCAGAAAACCACTACACACTGTTACTTAAGAGTTCTGTACGTTATTGATTCATTTAGTTCAGAAAACCACTACACACTGTTAAGAGTCTGTACGTTATTGATTCATTTAGTTCAGAAAACCACTACACACTGTTACTTAAGAGTTCTGTACGTTATTGATTCATTTAGTTCAGAAAACCACTACACACTGTTAAGAGTCTGTACGTTATTGATTCATTTAGTTCAGAAAACCACTACACACTGTTAAGAGTCTGTACGTTATTGATTCATTTAGCTCAGAAAACCACTACACACTGTTACTTAAGAGTTCTGTACGTTATTGATTCATTTAGTTCAGAAAACCACTACACACTGTTACTTAAGAGTTCTGTACGTTATTGATTCATTTAGCTCAGAAAACCACTACACACTGTTAAGAGTCTGTACGTTATTGATTCATTTGTTCAGAAAACCACTACACACTGTTACTTAAGAGTCTGTACGTTATTGATTCATTTAGTTCAGAAAACCACTACACACTGTTAAGAGTCTGTACGTTATTGATTCATTTAGTTCAGAAAACCACTACACACTGTTACTTAAGAGTTCTGTACGTTATTGATTCATTTAGTTCAGAAAACCACTACACATGTTAAGAGTCTGTACGTTTATTGATTCATTTAGTTCAGAAAACCACTACACACTGTTAAGAGTCTGTACGTTATTGATTCATTTAGCTCAGAAAACCACTACACACTGTTACTTAAGAGCTGTGTACGTTACAGGAGCTGGAGTCGTGGATCACTGGAGCGGGGTCACCTGGAGTCATTTACTTCAGTCTGGGGTCCTTCACCAAGTTCACTAATATACCAGTCCAGTACCGCGACGTCTTCGTCCAGGCTTTCCGCAGGCTGCCGCAGCGAGTCATCTGGAAATACGATGGTGACCTGGAAGACGTTCCTGACAACGTGATGATCAGAAAATGGCTGCCTCAGCAGGATATTCTTGGTGAGATTATTCACTTTTATGTGATGACTGGCGGAAATTAATCTGTTCCGTGGCCTGGTAGGTAGCTCTCTCGTCTCTGTGTCTGTGGTTCGATTCCCGGCGTGTTTTCTTATACCTACTGTCACTGTTCACTTAGCAGTAAGCAGGTACCTGGGTGTTAGTAGACTGTTGTGGGTGGCATCCTGGGGGACAAGACCAAAGGAGCACAATGGGAAATAGGTCCTCAATGACGCACTGTCCTGGGTTATCCTAGACGGCTAACCCACCCGGGCTAAAAACCCAAACAAAATCTTGTATATTTGCAAGTACACTGTAAGTAAAAATTTTATACTTACACTTATCAAGACGGTATTGATGTTTATGAAGGGTTTTGGCTACAAGTATTTAAAGTTACCTCAACCTTACTAGGCTCGAACCTTATAAATTCCCATTCTACTGATGCTGTATGACTCTAGCGTGTTTAGCGCTTCCCCGTGAATATAATATAAATTTCTATGCCTTATAATTTTGTCCACAATTTTGGTACCTGTCTCTCGTTGACATTTTTTCACAAATTTACCATAATGGTTGGCACCATTTAATTAACAACATTTTTATAATATAACGATGGATATTGGGCAGTAATTTATTAGCATGGAAGTCCAAATCCATTTATTGAGAACTTTCAGCAGGATCCTTTCCAGTGTTTACATTGTTAATCCAGTGGGTGGCACTGTTATCCTTGAGGAATTTGGGATAATCCAGGTTGGCTGTCAAGACTGTTAGCCATCACCTGGTGGGTGGCACTGTTATCCTTGAGGAATTTGGGATAATCTAGGTTGGCTGTCAAGACTGTCAGCCATCACCTGGTGGGTGGCACTGTTATCTTTGAGGAATTTGGAATAATCCAGGTTGGCTGTCAAGACTGTCAGCCATCACCTGGTGGATGGCACTGTTATCCTTGAGGAATTTGGGATAATCCAGGTTGGCTGTCAAGACTGTCAGCCATCACCTGGTGGGTGGCACTGTTATCCTTGAGGAATTTGGGATAATCCAGGTTGGCTCTCAAGACTGTCAGCCATCACCTGGTGGGTGGCACTGTTATCCTTGAGGAATTTGGGATAATCCAGGTTGGCTGTCAAGACTGTCAGCCATCACCTTGGCATTAAAATACACATGTTCGTGTATTGTAATTAGATATATTTGTTTTATTTTTTCAGATATGGTTATAGGCCTAGAAATGAATAGGAAAATTGTTATAGGCTTAAATTTGCTTCTTGTCAATGATGGCGGACGAATTCCGAGTTTAAATTTTTGTGGCAATATTCCAGTATTTTTACTCCTTTCATAAGACATGTTGACAAACTTACGTACGTTCCAGGACTCACGAAATCGTAATGACAGGATTGTAAATCATGTTAGGTAAGACACATATGCAACAGTTAGACAACTTTATTCCGAAACGTTTCGCCTACACAGTAGGCTTCTTCAGTCGAATACAGAAAATAGGCAGGAACAGTAGAGATATGAAGACGATGTAATCAGTCCATCACCCTTGTAGTCGTAGAATTTGAGGTTGTCAGTCCCTCGGCCTGGAGAAGTTCAGTTCCATAGTCAGGAACTATCAGATAGTTCCTGACTATGGAACTGAACTTCTCCAGGCCGAGGGACTGACAACCTCAAATTCTACGACTACAAGGGTGATGGACTGATTACATCGTCTTCATATCTCTACTGTTCCTGCCTATTTTCTGTATTCGACTGAAGAAGCCTACTGTGTAGGCGAAACGTTTCGGAATAAAGTTGTCTAACTGTTGCATATGTGTCTTACCTAACAACCTGTCGGTATTGTATACCATTTTGATGTTCATTGTAAATCATACCACGGGTGGGGTTAGAACCCGAGATCAGAGAGTCATGAAACACCAGACCGACGCCTTTGCCACTGGGCCAGTGGCTAACGCATCGGTCTGGTGTTTTGTGACTCTCTGATCGCGGGTTCTAACCCCACTCGTGGTATGATTTGTTTGCATTCGTGGCAGTATGATTTCGTGAGTCATAGACTTAATCAGTTTAGAGAGAACCAGACTTGAGTAAACCATACCACGAGCGGGGATTGAACCCGCTACCAGTCATAAAAAACGACTTGCATTTGTGGTCCCAGTGGTGGTCTATGCTAGTCTTTCTATGGCTAGCATAGACCACCATCCTAGTTGGATCAACTGCAGTAAGATCCATCCTAGTTGGATGGATCTCATTGTAGCTGATTCAGTGGTTAGCGCGTCGGTCTGGAGTTATGACTCTCTGATCGCGGGTTCTAACCCCACCCGTGGTATGGTTTGTTGGCAATCGTGTCATTACGACTTCGTGAGTCAGACTTGAGTATTTATAGAACTTGTGGGTCCTGAGGCGACAGGTCATGAAGTCACTTGTCAACAACCAGCCGAGTGATCTCAGTATCATATTTAGGTGACATCCGAGAATGTAACTTCCCACACTGCCATAACAACATACTGTAGTGAGATATGAAGGAGGTGTAATATAAACCCAGTGAGGAGTAGGGGTGCTGTGGGCACAGTAAGGGAACACTGTATCAACATTCGGGGTCCCAATTTATTCAACATCTTACCAGAAGATATCAGAAATACGGCTGGAACAAGTGTAGAAGCCTTCAAGAGGAAACTAGACAAGTGTCTTCATGGTGGATCAAGGTCTGATCAACTAGGCTGTTACTGCCGGCCGCACGCAAACTGACGTACGAACCGCAGCCCGGTTGGTCAGGTGCTGACTTTAGGTACCTGTCCAGTGCCTTCTTGAAGACAGCCAGGGGTCTTGAAGACAGCCAGGAGTCTATTGGTAATCCACCTTATGTATTCTGGAAGGCAGTTCAACAGTCTTGGGCCCCTGACACTTATTCTGTTGTCTCTCAAAGCACTGGTGGCGCCCCTGCTCTTCATCGGGGGAAGGCAGGGGTGCCACGAGTACTTTGAGAGACAACACACTAAGTGTCAGGGGCCCAAGACTGTTCAACTGCCTCCCAGTATACATAAGGGGGATTACCAATAGACCCCCTGGCTGTCTTCAAGGCCCCTGGCTGTCTTCAAGGCCCCTGGCTGTCTTCAAGACCCCTGGCTGCCTTGAAGACCCCTGGCTGCCTTGAAGACCCCTGGCTGCCTTGAAGACCCCTGGCTGCCTTGAAGACCCCTGGCTGCCTTGAAGACCCCTGGCTGCCTTGAAGACCCCTGGCTGCCTTGAAGACCCCTGGCTGCCTTGAAGACCCCTGGCTGCCTTGAAGACCCCTGGCTGCCTTGAAGACCCCTGGCTGCCTTGAAGACCCCTGGCTGCCTTGAAGACCCCTGGCTGCCTTGAAGACCCCTGGCTGCCTTGAAGACCCCTGGCTGCCTTGAAGACCCCTGGCTGCCTTGAAGACCCCTGGCTGCCTTGAAGACCCCTGGCTGCCTTGAAGACCCCTGGCTGCCTTGAAGACCCCTGGCTGCCTTGAAGACCCCTGGCTGCCTTGAAGACCCCTGGCTGCCTTGAAGACCCCTGGCTGCCTTGAAGACCCCTGGCTGCCTTGAAGACCCCTGGCTGCCTTGAAGACCCCTGGCTGCCTTCAAGACCCCTGGCTGCCTTCAAGACCCCTGGCTGTCTTCAAGACCCCTGGCTGTCTTCAAGACCCCTGGCTGTCTTCAAGACCCCTGGCTGTCTTCAAGACCCCTGGCTGCCTTCAAGACCCCTGGCTGTCTTCAAGACCCCTGGCTGTCTTCAAGACCCCTGGCTGTCTTCAAGACCCCTGGCTGTCTTCAAGACCCCTGGCTGTCTTCAAGACCCCTGGCTGTCTTCAAGACCCTGGCTGTCTTCAAGACCCCTGGCTGTCTTCAAGACCCCTGGCTGTCTTCAAGACCCCTGGCTGTCTTCAAGACCCCTGGTTGTCTTCAAGACCCCTGGCTGTCTTCAAGACCCCTGGCTGTCTTCAAGACCCCTGGCTGTCTTCAAGACCCCTGGTTGTCTTCAAGACCCCTGGCTGTCTTCAAGACCCCTGGCTGTCTTCAAGACCCCTGGCTGTCTTCAAGACCCCTGGCTGTCTTCAAGACCCCTGGCTGTCTTCAAGACCCCTGGCTGTCTTCAAGACCCCTGGTTGTCTTCAAGACCCCTGGCTGTCTTCAAGACCCCTGGCTGTCTTCAAGACCCCTGGCTGTCTTCAAGACCCCTGGCTGTCTTCAAGACCCCTGGCTGTCTTCAAGACCCCTGGCTGTCTTCAAGACCCCTGGTTGTCTTCAAGACCCCTGGCTGTCTTCAAGACCCCTGGCTGTCTTCAAGACCCCTGGTTGTCTTCAAGACCCCTGGCTGTCTTCAAGACCCCTGGCTGTCTTCAAGACCCCTGGCTGTCTTCAAGACCCCTGGATGTCTTCAAGACCCCTGGCTGTCTTCAAGACCCCTGGCTGTCTTCAAGACCCCTGGCTGTCTTCAAGACCCCTGGTTGTCTTCAAGACCCCTGGCTGTCTTCAAGACCCCTGGCTGTCTTCAAGACCCCTGGCTGTCTTCAAGACCCCTGGTTGTCTTCAAGACCCCTGGCTGTCTTCAAGACCCCTGGCTGTCTTCAAGACCCCTGGCTGTCTTCAAGACCCCTGGTTGTCTTCAAGACCCCTGACTGTCTTCAAGACCCCTGGCTGTCTTCAAGACCCCTGGCTGTCTTCAAGACCCCTGACTGTCTTCAAGACCCCTGGCTGTCTTCAAGACCCCTGGCTGTCTTCAAGACCCCTGGCTGTCTTCAAGACCCCTGGTTGTCTTCAAGACCCCTGGCTGTCTTCAAGACCCCTGGCTGTCTTCAAGACCCCTGGCTGTCTTCAAGAACCCTGGTTGTCTTCAAGACCCCTGGCTGTCTTCAAGACCCCTGGCTGTCTTCAAGACCCCTGGTTGTCTTCAAGACCCCTGGCTGTCTTCAAGACCCCTGGTTGTCTTCAAGACCCCTGGCTGTCTTCAAGACCCCTGGCTGTCTTCAAGACCCCTGGCTGTCTTCAAGAAGGCACTGAACAGGCACCTAAAGTCAGCACCTGACCAACCGGGCTGTGGTTCGTACATCAGTTTGCGTGCAGCCGACAGTAACAGCCTAGTTGATCAGACCCTGATCCACCATGAGGCCTGGTATCAGAGTCGCGGGGAGCGTTGACCCCCGAAACCCCCTCCAGGTAATCCTTATCGCTTTGCTTATTCTAGTTTTTGATATTTCTAAATTAGAACAATTATTTTTGCATATTCGTGTAGGTTCTAATGTTTTATTCGTGGATGTTCTAATGTTTTATTCGTGGATGTTCTAATGTTTTATTCGTGTAGGTTCTAATGTTTTATTCGTGTAGGTTCTAATGTTTTATTCGTGTAGGTTCTAATGTTTTATTCGTGGATGTTCTAATGTTTTATTCGTGGATGTTTCTAATGTTTTATTCGTGTAGGTTCTAATGTTTTATTCGTGTAGGTTCTAATGTTTTATTCGTGTAGGTTCTAATGTTTTATTCGTGTAGGTTCTAATGTTTTATTCGTGTAGGTTCTAATGTTTTATTCGTGTAGGTTCTAATGTTTTATTCGTGTAGGTTCTAATGTTTTATTCGTGTAGGTTCTAATGTTTTATTCGTGTAGGTTCTAATGTTTTTATTCGTGTAGGTTCTAATGTTTTATTCGTGGATGTTCTAATGTTTTATTCGTGGATGTTCTAATGTTTTATTCGTGTAGGTTCTAATGTTTTATTCGTGGATGTTCTAATGTTTTATTCGTGTAGGTTCTAATGTTTTATTCGTGTAGGTTCTAATGTTTTATTCGTGTAGGTTCTAATGTTTTATTCGTGTAGGTTCTAATGTTTTATTCGTGGATGTTCTAATGTTTTATTCGTGTAGGTTCTAATGTTTTATTCGTGTAGGTTCTAATGTTTTATTCGTGTAGGTTCTAATGTTTTATTCGTGTAGGTTCTAATGTTTTATTCGTGTAGGTTCTAATGTTTTATTCGTGTAGGTTCTAATGTTTTATTCGTGTAGGTTCTAATGTTTTATTCGTGTAGGTTCTAATGTTTTATTCGTGGATGTTCTAATGTTTTATTCGTGGATGTTCTAATGTTTTATTCGTGTATGTTTTTATATTTTATTCCAGTTAGTAATATTTCTAAGAATTGTTTATTTCACTTAGAAATCCTGACATAGAGAACCCGCAATAATGGATTCAAATTAGATAAGTTTAGATTTTGAAAGGATATTGGAAAGCATTGGTTTGGAAATAGGGTTATTGAAGCTAAAACCTTGGGTGGTTTCAAATTTAGGTTGGATAAATACATGGGTGAGAGGGGCTGGATTTGAGTGGGACTTGCATATGAGTGAATATAATTATCGAAGCTTATTTCTTTGGTAATATTGAAAATTGGGTTGGGCGAATATTTTGTTAGTGGGATGGATTGTGAAGGACCTGCCTAGTGTGGGCCAGCAGGCCTGCTGCAGTGTTCCTCCTTTATGTTCTTGTGTTGGAAACATAAACACATATGCAGGTTAATGTGATCCTTTATTGGCAACGTTTCGCCCACACAGATCTACCTGGGGTGGAAGGTACTCCCGTACCTTCCACCCCAGGTAGATCTGTGTTACTTGAAGAAGCCCACTGTGTGGGCGAAACGTTGTCAATAAAGGATCACATTAAACTGCACATGTGTTTATGTTTCCATTGTGTCGGTATTTTATACCATTTATTTTCATATGAACTAAACCTGTATTCGACAGGTCACAACAACGTGAAGGTGTTCATCTCACACTGTGGTCTCCTGAGCATGCAAGAAGCCATCTACCACGGCACGCCAGTCCTCGCTGTCCCACTCTTCGCTGACCAGCCTAGTAATAGCCATTTTCTGACCACCTCTGAACTAGGCCTCAGTTTGGTATGGGAAGAACTCACTGCAGACAAGATTGTTAATGGACTCAACGATATTATCAACGATCCAAAGTAATATTAACTGGTATTTTTATTTTAGTTGAAATGAGGAATTAGTGGCCCGGTGGTCTGGTGGCTAAAGCTCCCGCTTCACACAAGGAGGGCCCGGGTTCGATTCCCGGCGGGTGGAAATTCCGACACGTTTCCTTACACCTATTGTCCTGTTCACCTAGCAGCAAATAGGTACCTGGGTGTTAGTCGACTGGTGTGGGTCGCATCCTGGGGGACAAGATTAAGGACCCCAATGGAAATAAGTTAGACAGTCCTCGATGACGCACTGACTTTCTTGGGTTATCCTGGGTGGCTAACCCTCCGGGGTTAAAAATCCGAACAAAATCCTATCCTATCCTATCCCTGTCCTTCATACTAAGATTTTAAATTTTGATTTTAAACATACACAAGTTATCTTTCCTGTAAGAATAATCTGAGAACTTTGAATCTGCTTGTCTTAAAAGATGTGGAATAAATGGAGAGGTGAACGAGACATAGAAATGGAATCGAAATAAATGGTATAAAATACCGACACAATAGAAATATAAACACATATGCAGTATAATGTTATCCTTTATTGACTACGTTTCGCCCACACAGTGGGCTTTTTCAAGTCACAATCAGATCTACCTGGGGTGGAAGGGACGCGAGTATTTATAGTCAAGTTCAGAATGCTGAGGTCAGGTGGAGAGTGCTGCATCTGATGTACCGAGTGGGGTTATAGATGCAGCATTCTCCACCTGACCTCAGCATTCTGAACCTGACTATAAATACTCGCGTCCCTTCCACCCCAGGTAGATCTGTTTGTGACTTGAAAAAGCCTACTGTGTGGGCGAAACGTCAAGGCAACTGTCAAGGTCAAGTTGGGCTAAAGGTACCGAAGAGGATAGAACTCCAGTACCGGGTTTTGACAGGGATTCTGAGTTCGGGAAGAATCCGTAAAGGGTGTCTCAGTCATTTGGGAAACAAGCCAGGATCTGATGCCCTCCCTGAACTACAGTCACCTAGATTAGGTGCAGGTTATTTTTCTCTTGAAGGTAACATGACTCGCGAAATCGTAATGACACGATTGCAACCAAACCATACCACGGGTGGGGATAGAACCCGCGATCAGAGAGTCTCAAAACTCCAGACCGTCGCGTTAGCCACTAGACCAGCTAGCCACAATAAGATTCGTCCAACTAGGTATATTTCTACACCATAGGAAGGTTAGCATAGGCCACCACTGTGACCACAAATGCAAGTTTTTACAGACGAATCTCCAGCTAGCGTGGCCGTGACGAACTCTAGCTCAAGTCCCTTCACTGCCGTCAACATGACTCACGAAATCGTAATGACATGATTGTAAACAAACCATACCACGGGGGGGATGGAACCCGCGGTCAGAGAGTCTCAAAACTCGACAGTGGAGTTTTGAGACTCTCCCGCCTCGTACCCCTTTCTGGAGAACGATGTAGTGGTAGCAGGATCAATACTTAGGCCTAAAACGTGTTATAAAGCTCTTGGAGCAGGGAGGGAGTGGACCTAGTAACGACCTGCGAAGAGGTGGGGCCAGGAGTTATAACTCGACCGTTATGGCTTAACAAAGCTCCTGGAGAGCGAAACGTTGCCTCAATAAAATGTCACATTAGCTGCACTTTTCTCCTTTTACTTTATAACTTAAAGTTCATTTAAAGAAAGTTTTCTTGATTAAGATAAACTTATGAATCTCCCATGTTACTTAAGTTAATTTTAACATAAACACTTGACCTCTTACACTCATCCAGCCTACTCCCACATCTCTTACACTCATCCAGCCTACTCCCACATCTCTTACACTCATCCAGCCTACTCCCACATCTCTTACACTCATCCAGCCTACTCCCACATCTTTCACCCATCCAGCCTACTCCCACATCTCTTTCACCCATCCAGCCTACTCCCACATCTCTTACACTCATCCAACCTACTCCCACATCTCTTTCACCCATCCAGCCTACTCCCACATCTCTTTCACCCATCCAGCCTACTCCCACATCTCTTTCACCCATCCAGCCTACTCCCACATCTCTTACACTCATCCAGCCTACTCCCACATCTCTTACACTCATCCAGCCTACTCCCACATCTCTTACACTCATCCAGCCTACTCCCACATCTCTTTCACCCATCCAGCCTACTCCCACATCTCTTACACCCATCCAGCCTACTCCCACATCTTTCACCCATCCACCTACTCCCCACCCCACATCTTTCACCCATCCAGCCTACTCCCACATCTTTCACCCATCCAGCCTACTCCCACATCTTTCACCCATCCAGCCTACTCCCACATCTTTCACCCATCCAGCCTACTCCCACATCTCTTTCACCCATCCAGCCTACTCCCACATCTCTTTCACCCATCCAGCCTACTCCCACATCTCTTACACTCATCCAGCCTACTCCCACATCTCTTACACTCATCCAGCCTACTCCCACATCTCTTACACTCATCCAGCTTACTCCCACATCTCTTACACTCATCCAGCCTACTCCCACATCTCTTACACTCATCCACCTACTCCCACATCTCTTACACTCATCCAGCCTACTCCCACATCTCTTACACTCATCCAACCTACTCCCACATCTCTTACACTCATCCAGCCTACTCCCACATCTCTTACACTCATCCAGCCTACTCCCACATCTCTTACACTCATCCAACCTACTCCCACATCTCTTACACTCATCCAGCCTACTCCCACATCTCTTACACTCATCCAGCCTACTCCCACATCTCTTACACTCATCCAGCCTACTCCCACATCTCTTACACTCATCCAGCCTACTCCCACATCTCTTACACTCATCCAGCCTACTCCCACATCTCTTACTCATCCAGCCTACTCCCACATCTCTTACACTCATCCAGCCTACTCCCACATCTCTTACACTCATCCAGCCTACTCCCACATCTCTTACACTCATCCAGCCTACTCCCACATCTCTTACACTCATCCAGCCTACTCCCACATCTCTTACACTCATCCAGCCTACTCCCACATCTCTTACACTCATCCAGCCTACTCCCACATCTCTTACACTCATCCAACCTACTCCCACATCTCTTACACTCATCCAGCCTACTCCCACATCTCTTACACTCATCCAGCCTACTCCCACATCTCTTACACTCATCCAACCTACTCCCACATCTCTTACACTCATCCAGCCTACTCCCACATCTCTTACAATCACTACTCCACCTTACCATAGCCTACTCCACATCTCTTACACTCATCCAGCCTACTCCCACATCTCTTACACTCATCCAGCCTACTCCCACATCTCTTACACTCATCCAGCCTACTCCCACATCTCTTACACTCATCCAACCTACTCCCACATCTTTCACCATCCAGCCTACTCCCACATCTCTTACACTCATCCAGCCTACTCCCACATCTCTTACACTCATCCAGCCTACTCCCACATCTCTTACACTCATCCAGCCTACTCCCACATCTCTTACACTCATCCAGCCTACTCCCACATCTCTTAATACACCCCATCTTCATAGCCTACTCCCACATCTCTTACACTCATCCACCTACTCCCACATCTTTCACCCATCCAGCCTACTCCCACATCTCTTACACTCATCCAGCCTACTCCCACATCTCTTACACTCATCCAGCCTACTCCCACATCTCTTACACTCATCCAGCACCCCTACTCTACCCCCCAACCATCTCTTACACTCATCCAACCTACTCCCACATCTCTTACACCCATCCAGCCTACTCCCACATCTCTTCACCCATCCAGCCTACTCCCACATCTCTTACACTCATCCAGCCTACTCCCACATCTCTTACACTCATCCAGCCTACTCCCACATCTTTCACCCATCCAGCCTACTCCCACATCTCTTACACTCATCCAGCCTACTCCCACATCTCTTACACCATCCAGCCTACTCCCACATCTTTCACCCATCCAGCCTACTCCCACATCTCTTACACTCATCCACCTACTCCCACATCTCTTACACCACCAGCCTACTCCCACATCTTTCACCCATCCAGCCTACTCCCACATCTCTTACACCATCCAGCCTACTCCCACATCTCTTACACTCATCCAGCCTACTCCCACATCTCTTACACTCATCCAAGCCTACTCCCACACTCTTACACCCACCCAGCCTACTCCCACATCTTTCACCCATCCAGCCTACTCCCACATCTCTTACACTCATCCAGCCTACTCCCACATCTCTTACACCATCCAGCCTACTCCCCACATCTTTCACCCATCCAGCCTACTCCCACATCTCTTTCACTCATCCCAGCCTACTCCCACATCTCTTCACCCATCCAGCCTACTCCCACCTCTCTTTCACTCATCCAGCCTACTCCCACATCTCTTTCACACCACCCAGCCTACTCCCACATTCTTTCACCCATCCAGCCTACTCCCACATCTCTTTCACCATCCAGCCTACTCCCACATCTCTTACACTCATCCACTACTCCCACTCTCTTCACCTCATCCAGCCTACTCCCACATCTCTTTCAACCCATCCAGCCTACTCCCACATCTCTTCACCCATCCAGCCTACTCCCACATCTCTTACACTCATCCAGCCTACTCCCATTCTCTTTCACCCTCACCAGCCTACTCCCACATACTTTACTTCTCCGCCTACGTACATATCTACACTCATCTCGCTTCCTACTCACACCCATAACCCTCTTATCCTAGCAATCTATTCACCAGCCACTAAGCTCTAACTTTATATTCCCTGCTCCTAATCTTAGTACTGCACTCATCCAGTGTTCTGATTTCTTATTCATATACAACTAGCGCTAAAGTCCTTCAGGTGCCTATATTTTATTAAGACACAATTTCAAGCCTATTCCTACACGTTTTTTGTGCCCCAAAACTCACTTCCATGTTTCTGTAAGTCATTCCCTCACCCCTGTTACTGATTTACGTTTTCCTTAAGATAAGATAAGATAAGATTTCGTTCGGATTTTTAACCCCGGAGGGTTAGCCACCCAGGATAACCCAAGAAAGTCAGTGCGTCATCGAGGACTGTCTAACTTATTTCCATTGTGGTCCTTAATCTTGTCCCCCAGGATGCCACCCACACCAGTCGACTAACACCCAGGTACCTATTTGCTGCTAGGTGAACAGGACAATAGGTGTAAGGAAACGTGTCGGAATTTCCACCCGCCGGGAATCGAACCCGGGCCCTCCGTGTGTGAAGCGGGAGCTTTAGCCACCAGACCACCGGGCCACCTCCTTCGCTCTCATTCAACTTCCATAGGCCTACAACTGTTATTAGCCCCTCTAACGCTCCCCCCTCCCCACGCAGACAGGGCTTCTCAAAAAAAATTCATGTAGGCTTAGCATCCCTGAATGAATGTTAGGCTATAATTTAAGGTGATAGCGTTTAAGTGCAGTCATTACTTATAATAATGTGACAGAGGACAAATGCATGTAATTATCATTTATATATTCACTTATGATTCACTATGCATTCTTCCCAGATTTATAATTTACAGTATATTAGGTGCATTCACGAAGTGTTTTGGTGTTTTGAGAGTTCCCTGTAATCTACACACAAACTTGCATTATTTCCCAGTAAGTGTAGGCCTTAGGCAGGGACGTGTGATGTCACTATGGTGGTTCAATATATTTATAGATGGTGTTGTAAGAGAAGTTAATGCTCGAGTGTTGGCAAGAGGTGTGGAGTTAAAAGATAAAGAATCTAACACAAAGTGGGAGTTGTCACAGTTGCTCTTTGCTGATGACACTGTGCTTTTGGGAGATTCTGAAGAGAAGTTACAGAGGTTGATGGATGAGTTTGGTACGGTATGTAAAAGAAGAAATTTAAAAGTGAATATAGGAAAGAGTAAGTTGATGAAGATAGTGGAATATTGGATATCAGATTGGAGGGAGAGAGTATGGAGGAGGTGAATGTGTTCAGATAATTGGGAATGGAAGTGTCAGCAGATGGGTCTACGAAAGATGAGGTGAATCATAGAACTGATGAGGGGAAAAAGGTGACTGGTGCACTTAGGAGTCTGTGGAGACGAAGATCTTTATCCAAGGAAGCAAAGAGGGGAATGGATGAGAGTATAGTTTTACCAACGCTCTTATATGGGTGTGAAGCATGGGTGATGAATGTTGCAGCGAGGAGAAGGCTGGAGGCAGTGAAATGTCATGTCTGAGGGCAATGTGTGGTGTGAATATAATGCAGAGAATCCGTACTTTGGAGATTAGGAGAAGGTGTGGTATTGCTAAAACTATTATCCAGAGCGCTGAGAAGGGGTTGAGGTGGTTCTTGCATGTAGAGAGGATGGAACAAAATAGAATGACTTAGTATATAGATCTGTAGTGGAGGGAAGGTGGGGTAGGGGTTAGCTTGAGAAAGGTTGGAGGGAGGGGGTAAAGGAAGTTTTGTGTGCGAGGGGCTTGGACTTCCACCAAGCGTGCGTGAGCGTGTTAGATAGGAGCGAATGGAGACAAATGGTTTTTAGGATTTGACGTGCTGTTGGAGTGTGAGCAAAGTAACATTTATGAAGGGATTCAGGGAAACCGGCAGGCCGGACTTGTCCTGGAGATGGGAAGTACAGTGTCTGCACTCTGAAGGAGGGATGTTAATGTTTCAGTTTTATAACTATAGTGTAAAGCACCTCTCTGGCAAGACAGTGATGGAGTGAATGATGAAAGTATTTCTTTTTCGGGCCACCGTACCTTGGTGGGAAACTGCCGATGTCTTAATAAAAAATACAAAATAACATACAAAAAAATAGAAGTCTGCTTGGGAGCAGTGAAGGGCTTTTAATTATATATTTTTTCATGCTTTAGGTATCAGGAAAACGTGTTGAGGATGTCAATGCAGCTGCGGGATACACTTATGACTCCCAGGGAACTGGCAGTGTTCTGGACGGAGTACGTCATCCGTCACAGAGGTGCTCCCCAGTTGAGGTCACCAGCGGCACAGCTCTCCTGGGTGGAGTTCCTCATGCTGGACGTGATCTTCCTCCTCTACCTGGTTATCTTCGTCCTCTGTCTGCATTACGGCGAATCCTGAAGGTCGTTTCGGCTAAAGTCTCCGGTAGTGTTGGAATTAAGAAGAAATATTAGAGGATTTCTCGGGTCCTCCCAGTGGCCCGGGGTCCTCCCATTGGCCCGGGGTCCTCCCAGTGGCTCGGGTCCTCCCAGTGGCTCGAGGTCCTCCCAGTGGCCCGGGGTCCTCCCAGTGGCCCGGGGTCCTCCCATTGGCGTGCAGTCTGTTGATGCCCGGGGCCAACGCCTCGATTGTATGCCCCAAATCACTATCTTATTTCCCTCTAATTAGATGCCCCCCCCATTTGGATGCCCTGGTCCACCGTCCCTTCGCCCCCCTTCACCCCCCCCCCTTCGCCTCCCCCTCTGCATGCCACTGGTCCTCCAGAACTAAAGACAAAAATCACAGTTCGTGTCGAGAAGAATATTGAGGTGAACGCATGGCAAGACATGTCAGTAAATATTTAATAAAACTACCTAACAAACAACTATGATCGACACTTATTAAACAAGACTTTATCAACACTTTACTTGTAGTAAAATACTTGTGTAGCGTTTAGTCTTTTATCTTTATTAATAAATTAAGATGCACGAAACCGTGGCTAGAAAATACACAAACCTGAATGTGAAAGAATTTTATAACGACGTTTCGGTCCGAATTGGACCATTAACTGTGTGATTAGTTAATAGTTGGATCGAAACCTGGTCATAAGTTAATTACTTACAAGTGTTTTATATACACTATCTAATACTATATAAATTTAGTCTAACTAGACACATCTTTCAGATGTAATGTTTTCTTTGGTTAGTTAAGTGTTATGATGTCTAGCAGGTGGCTGGAGTGTCTAGCAGGTGGCTGGAGTGTCTAGCAGGTGGCTGGATTGTCTAGCAGGTGGCTGGATTGTCTAGCAGGTGGCTGGAGTGTCTAGCAGGTGGCTGGAGTGTCTAGCAGGTGGCTGGAGTGTCTAGCAGGTGGCTGGAGTGTCTAGCAGGTGGCTGGAGTGTCCAGCAGGTGGCTGGAATGTCCAGCAGGTGGCTGGGGAGTCTGGCAGGTGGCTGGAGTGTCTGGCAGGTGGCTGGAGTGTCTAGCAGGTGGCTGGATTGTCTAGCAGGTGGCTGGATTGTCTAGCAGGTGGCTGGATTGTCTAGCAGGTGGCTGGAGTGTCTAGCAGGTGGCTGGATTGTCTAGCAGGTGGCTGGAGTGTCCAGCAGGTGGCTGGATTGTCTAGCAGGTGGCTGGGGAGTCTGGCAGGTGGCTGGAGTGTCTGGCAGGTGGCTGGAGTGTCTAGCAGGTGGCTGGAGTGTCTAGCAGGTGGCTGGAGTGTCTAGCAGGTGGCTGGAGTGTCTAGCAGGTGGCTGGAGAGTGTAGCAGGTGGTTGGAGTGTCTAGCAGGTGGCTGGAGTGTCTAGCAGGTGGCTGGAGTGTCTAGCAGGTGGCTGGAGTGTCTAGCAGGTGGCTGGGGAGTCTGGCAGGTGGCTGGAGTGTCTGGCAGGTGGCTGGAGTGTCTAGCAGGTGGCTGGAGTGTCTAGCAGGTGGCTGGAGTGTCTAGCAGGTGGCTGGAGTGTCTAGCAGGTGGCTGGAGTGTCTAGCAGGTGGCTGGAGTGTCTAGCAGGTGGCTGGAGTGTCTGGCAGGTGGCTGGAGTGTCTGGCAGGTGGCTGGAGTGTCTGGCAGGTGGCTGGAGTGTCTGGCAGGTGGCTGGAGTGTCTGGCAGGTGGCTGGAGTGTCTGGCAGGTGGCTGGAGTGTCTAGCAGGTGGCTGGAGTGTCTCGCAGGTGGCTGGAGTGTCTCGCAGGTGGCTGGAGTGTCTGGCAGGTGGCTGGAGTGTCTGGCAGGTGGCTGGAGTGTCTGGCAGGTGGCTGGAGTATCTGGCAGTGGCTGGAGTGTCTGGCAGGTGGCTGGAGTGTCTGGCAGGTGGCTGGAGTGTCTGCAGGTGGCTGGAGTGTCTGGCAGGTGGCTGGAGTGTCTGGCAGGTGGCTGGAGTGTCTAGCAGGTGGCTGGATTGTCTAGCAGGTGGCTGGATTGTCTAGCAGGTGGCTGGAGTGTCTAGCAGCTGGAAGAGGTACTGTAGGTAGTAGTAGTTGTAGTGGGTAAGGTGAGAAGTGGAGGCGGCACACGAGTCAGTGTGTGGAGTGAAGCTAGGTAGTAGCAGTAGTAGTAGTAGCAGCAGTAGTAGTAGTAGTAGCAGCAGTAATAGTAGTGGTAGTGGTAATAGTAATAGTAGTACAAATGGTAGAATATGTGGAGGACGTCTAAGTACAAGAAAGAGAACACTGCAGGAAGACTAGTGGCCCACGAGGGTGGGACCAAAAACATGAAGACACGTAGGAGAGAACACTCTTAGGCAGAAGAAATGAAAGGTAAAGATAGAGTAAAGGAGAAGATTTAAGGAGAAGATCTGGAGCATTTGCCACTGTAATGAGAAAGGAAGGATCTACAGAAACAAAGCCAAGACTAAGATTCATATCAGGAAAACTGTGTGTAAGTGATGCTACAGCAAGACGGTGGCTGTGAAGGCTGGAAAGGTAGACGGCTTCAGCAGACCACCAGTCTCTAGCATAACAGAAAATAGCAATTTTATATTAATCCCCAGGGTTTATTACCTGGACCTCAGTAATGAGAGTGAGAAAATAGCGTTGATGTTACTTTCGTGCTCTTCAAGTCAGAGAGCTGCCAGCTTCTTTAAGGTACTGGAGAGAGCAAGAGGAGCAGGAAATGGAGTAGACTCCGGAAGCATCATTAGGTGAAGTAAGACCTAGATTACTGCGAAGAATGTTAGTTTGGTGAAAAGTCTGATGTCTAAAGAACGGAGAAAGTTATGATTTGAGAGACTGCTAATATAGAGAATGCAAAGAACATGAGATTTCCCAGGAGTTAGTCTCAGAGAAAAGAAAGTTAATTTAGAATTGAGAAGGCAGAATTTAAATCTCCCTCTTTCTCTCCCAGCTGGGGATCGAACCCGAGTTATTTAGCCAGTCTCCTGGAAAGATAACTAAATTCTGGGCCCCTCATTGGACTACGCCACCATACAAATGTCAGATGCCCAGACTTGCCAGTCTTAACGCCAGCACATTCGTAGTCGTGGATACCTACAGTAACTAATTTTACGCTTCCATCTGGATACCAGTCTCACGAGCAGTACACAGTAATGCATCCATGAAAGTGGTTTAAAGCAAGTAACATACTGCAACCAGCAGGGGATCGAACCCGAATTGTTTAGCTCGCCTCCAGGGAAGCTAGCTAAATTCTCGATGTTTTGTCCACTACACCGCCACATAACACTTATATGGTGGCGTAGTGGACGAAGGTATCTAGAATTTATATAGTTCTGGGAAGCTAACTTAATGACTCGGGTTCGATCCACGGCTAGTGTGTACTCACCTAGTTGTATTCACCTACTTGTGGTTGCAGGGGTCGAGTCACAGCTCCTGGCCGCTACTCTTCACTGGCCACTACTCGGTCACACTTCCCGCTCCCTAAGCTTTATCATACCTCTGCTTAAAGCTATGTATGGATCCTGCCTCCACTACATCACTACCCAAACTATTCCACTTCCTGACTACTCTGTGACTGAAGAAATACTTCCTAACATCCCTGTGATTCATCTGTGTCTTCAACTTCCAACTGTGTCCCCTTGTTGCTGTGTCACATCTCTGGAACATCCTGTCTTTGTCCACCTTGTCGATTCCTCTCAGTATTTTATATGTCGTTATCATATCCCCCCAATCTCTCCATCCTCCAGCGTCGTCAGGTCGATTTCCCATAACCTCTCCTATTAGGACATACCCTTAACTCCGGGACTAGTCTTGTTGCAAACCTTTGCACTTTCTCTAGTTTCTTTACGTGCTTGGCTAGGTGTGAGTTCCAAACTGGTGCCGCATACTCCAATATGGGCCTAACGTACACGGTGTACAGGGTCCTGAATGACTCCTTATTGAGATGTCGGAATGTTGTTCTGAGGTTTGCCAGGCGCCCATATGCTGCAGCAGTTATTTGGTTGATGTGCGCCTCAGGAGATGTTCCCGGTGTTATACTCGCCCCAAGATCTTTTTCCATGAGTGAGGTTTGTAGTCTCTGGCCCCCTAGACTGTACTCTGTGGTCTTCTTTGCCCTTCTCCAATCTTCATGGCTTTGCACTTGGTGGGGTTGAATTCCAGGAGCCAGTTTCTGGACCAGGTCTGCAACCTGTCCAGATTCCTTTGTAGTTCAGCATGATCCTCGTCCGATTGAATTCTTCTCATCAACTTCATATCTGCAAACAGGGACACTTCAGAGTCTATTCCTTTTGTCATGTTCACAAATACCAGAAACAGCACCGGTCCTAGGACTGATCCCTGTGGCACCCCGCTTGTTACCGGCGCCCACTTTGACACCTCGTCACATGCCATGACTCGCTGTTGTCTTCCTGGCAGATATTCCCTGATCCACCGTAGTGTCTTCCCTGTTATCCATGCTTGGTCCTCCAGCTTTTGCACTAATCTCTTGTGTGGAACTATCAAACGCAGCCTTATAGTCCAAGAAAATGCAATCTACCCACCCTTCTCTCTCTTGTCGTACCCTCTCATAGAACTCCAGTTGGTTTGTGACACAGGATTTCCAATCCCTGAAACCGTGCTGGCTGTCGTTAAGATCATTCCTTTCTAGGTGCTCCACACACTTCTGATAACTTTCTCCATGTCTTTGCATACTACACACGTCAGTGACACTGGTCTGTAGTTTAATGCTTCATGTCTCTCCTTTTTAAAAACTGGGACTACATTTGCTGTCTTCCATACTTCAGGTAGTCTCCATGTGTCGATAGATGTGTTGATAGTTGTTAGTGGTATACACAGTGCCTCTGCGCCTTCCCTCAGGACCCATGGAGAGATGTTATCCGGCCCCATCGCCTTTGAGGTATCAAGCTTACTAAGCAGCCTTTTCACTTCTTCCTCGGTTGTATGTATTGTGTCCAACACTTGGTGGTGTACCCCACCTCTCCGTCTTTCTGGCGGCCCTTCTGTCTCTGTGAACACTTCTTTTGCTCTCATGTTGAGCTCCTCACATACTTTGCAGTCATTTTTGTGACCTTCCCTCCTTCCTTCCTCAGCCTGATTACCTGGTCCTTGACTGTTGTTTTCCTCCTGATGTGTCAGATTTGGCTTTCGCTGCTATGTCATTCTCGTGTTGTTCTTACCTGTGCATATTCATTTCTGGCTCTACGACTGCTCTCCTTATTCTCCTGGGCCCTTTACTTTCTATACTTCTATTCCCTAGCACACTTGGTTTTGGCCTCTCTGCACCTTTGGGTGAACCATGGGCTCATCTGTGAGCTTGGTTTCTGTGAGGGGGTATGATGTCTGGTGATGCCTCTTTCATGCCACTCCTCCCACTTATTCATTATTCCATCAGCGTTAGTGTACAATACCTTCAGTTTCCTCTCCAACAATGTGTTTTGGGGGGTCTGTGAGGGTGGGAGTCCTGGTAGTATGCTGTGGGATTCTACAGCATAGAGTCTCAAAACTCCAGCCCGTCGCGTTAGCCACTAGAGTGGAGTTTTGAGACTCTATGACCGCGGGTTCAATCCCGGCCGGGGGTATGGTCTACAGCATAGCATAGTGTGGGGTGGGGGCTGTGAGTGTGGATTGTGGTCTGTGTTGGGATAGTATGTTTGGTTGTGGGGTTCTGGGGGATGGTCCTGTGTGTGCTTGCTCTTGTTGCTCTGCCCTGCTCTGGATGTCCTCAGCTGGTTCTGCCCTTGTCTCTCTTCCTAGCTCCTTTCACTTTTGTGTTCTCTCCCTC